GGCGGGGGGGATTTCGCTCCACCAGGTGAAGGGTGTTGTGTGAACGTGGACAGCTTGTAGCCTAATCCCTAAGGGAGGCGTAATTGTTAGTCTGAGCGCACACCCGAGGAAAAGCCCTAGCCCACCCACCCCCTGCCAGAAGGATCTCAGAAATCTCGGTGCAGTTCAGGGGACGATTGGCCCCTGTAAAAAAATCACGTGCAGCCCCGGGCCCGGCAGAGAGAGAGTTTCACCAGGGTCCCCCTGCCGGCTGCTGCGCCCGGCCTGCCTGGGAGCACACGCTTCTGGCTTACAGCGAAGCCTCCCCGTGCTTTGAGGGCCATCCAACATCCCCCGCCCGGGCTGGGCCTCCCTCGGTTCCTCCGGACGTTCTCCTGCGATTGCATCGGGGGCCTCGGGGGTCTCCAGATGCTGCCTGGTTGGCCGCTGGGTGTGGGTCAGGGAATCAGAAGTTCACTTTGTGCAATTCCACCCTCTGCAAACTCTGTCACTTGCAGTGTTTAATTTCAGGTTGCTCGGTGTGCCTGTGTGTTTCTGCTCCTTTAATTCTGGTGGCTCTACACAACAGAGTGACTGAATTCGACCCCTTTCTGAAACTGGGCAAAACATAAAACCATAGGGTAACCCCACTGGTTAGATTCACACAACGCACAGGCAGGCTCAGAAAACCCAGCCAGCCTTTCCCTGTGGTGTGAATGCAGCTGAAGGCCTTCCCTGACCTTGTGGACCAGCCTCAGAGCCTCTGTGACCCGCGTGGGGGCTGTCTCCCCCCTGCCAGCAACAGAAGAGAGGGATGTGCAGAATGACTGAAAACGGCTTTCCAAGCCCGTGTCCCACTAGGAACATCTGAACTGAACGTGTCATCTTTTCCCATGTCATCCTCTCCGTCCCGGGCTCGCCTTGAGCTTTGTCCATTTCAGCAGCTTAATTAGGGGGGAAAACTCCCGGGAAAAGCCTTTTGAGTTACGTTACATTAACTCTGCTTTTAGTTAACCGAGTTCACAATTTCATTCTGTTTTTTCACTCAGAGGTGCCTGGAATTCCCTGGGAGTTGAAAAGTGAGGTATAAATTGGCATAGGTTAACGGGAACTTTTTTCCCCTTTTTTTCGCTCAATCAGGACGTCCTGCACTTCCTGTCCTGTCCACTCTGTTTCTGATAAAAGCAATTTATGTACTTGTGCTGGGTGGCGCAGCGGGGAGGGATCCTTGGGAAATGGGGCTTGCAGCGCAGCAGGGGCACTCCTGTCCTTCTTTCAGGCTCTGGCGCTTGGGGACCCCGGGGGTGGGCGGGGGCTGCCCTCAGGAAGCCCGGGGGCGCGCGCGCCGGGCGGCTCAGAGGCGGGGAGGCCCCTCGCAGCTTTCTCCGGCCGGGTCGCCTGCGGCAACGCTGGGACGCCA